ACAATTTCCCTTTTCCAAATTTGGTGACTAATCCATGGTTTGGTGACTAAAAGATTAAGTTACAGCCCTAAAGCGAAAACGATCATGGTTAATACAAATAGTGATATCATTGACATTAAACCTTCTTCTGCATTAAATATTTCAAACTTAGCTCTTCCGAATTTCCTACAGTTGTCTGATCTCCATTTTGCAAACCAGACCGTTTTGATGCACCGATAGGATGCCAATACGTATTCCAGATTCTTAAAAAAAGTGACGCATTTAAGATTAACTCATCAGTGAATATATATATATATATATATATATATATATATATATATATATATATATATATATAAATGATAGTTTTAAAAAAACTAAAAGGAAATACAATCTTATTGTTGATCGAACTAAAATAAATGTAAAATAAATTATAGTTTAAAAAAACTTAAGAAGCACTCTTTTATAGTTAATCGAACTAAAAAAATAAAAAAAAATTATCCTTAATATAAGTATAAAATGGTTAACGCGAAAAATTAATGTCATTGTGGTGAAAGTGTAGGGTGCTTTGAAATATATTTTTAGAATTGTGCATTTCGGGATAGAATTAGTAACGAATTGTAACAGTTAATATCATGCACACCACACGCTTTTACCGCTTTTAATTATTTTATTCTTATATTATTAAGAATTATGTTTTACTTTTAAGTGAGATTCACACACTATAAATCGTGATTTATGTTGCTTTTGTAACTATAATTTATTTGCAATGAAGTAGTATTTGAAATATCATGAAAATTTCAAATCCTGGTATTTGTATTTTAATCCAAATAGAATAAAGTTTTATTGAAAAAAATGAACACCTACGCAATGACAAGTACTCAATAGACGTTCAACCCCACAGAGCTTACCAATAATTGTTGACATAGTATAGGGTGTTTTTTTAGAGGTATAGAACTTTAAATTGCAATAAAACAACGATGTATTACTCGATTGACATGAATTTTTTTTATTCGAAAGATAATCTTGTGGCATTACATATTAAATATGATCAATCAAGGCGTAGTTTCGTCGAATGGGCCCAAAACGAGATGGCCGTTGTTCCCGATTTTCATAAGCGAATTTTGTTTAGCGATGAAGCTCACTTCTGGTTGAATGGCTACGTCAACAAACAAAACTGCCGAATTTGGAGTGAAGCTAATCCACAAGTGTATGTCGAAACACCGTTACATCCAGAAAAACTGACTGTTTGGTGCGCTTTATGGGCTGGTGGAATCCTTCTTCAAAAACGATGAAGGCCACAACGTTACAGTCAATGGTGATCGGTATAGAGCGATGATTACTAATTTTTTCATTCCTGAATTGAACAATCATGATGTCCAGGAGCTGTGGTTCCAACAAGATGGCGCAACATGTCACACAGCTCGTGCAACAATCGATTTATTGAAAGACACGTTTGGCGACCGCCTAATTTCACGTTTGGGACCTGTGAATTGGCCTCCAAGATCTTGACCGCTAGACTATTTTCTGTGGGGCTATGTAAAGTCATTGGTCTATGCGGATAAGCCACAAACGCTTGACCATTTGGAAGACAACATTCGCCGTGTTATTGCCGATATATGGCCACAAATGTTGGAAAAAGTCATCGAAAATTGGACGTCCAGATTGGGTCTACATCCGAGCCAGCCGTGGCAGTCTTATGCCAGAAATCATATTTAAAAGTTAATGCCACAAGATTATCTTTCGAATAAAAGAAAATTCATGTCAATCGAATAATACATCGTTGTTTTATTGCAATTTAAAGTTCATATTTCTAAAAAAAAGACCCTATATATTGACAACGATTCGAATGCATAATACAACCGAATCATTTGTATTTCCCTTACGTACTTTATAAGTGTCGATATTCTTCAGAGAATACTTTTTCTCTCGGCAACACATCTAAGCCGTATTAAATCTTTTACTTATAAATCTTTGAAATATATTTCTTAAGTAAAGAAACCAGTTTTCACATATATATATATATATATATATATATATATATATATATATATATATATATATATATATATATATATATATATATATATATATATATATATATTTATTATATATATATATATATATATATATATATATAAGGATTTATTCATAAGCTCTAAAGTATTATAAAGATGGACAAGGAATGTTTTTATTTTCGTTTGTATTTTCGTTTGTATCGTTTGGTCCGTCACCAAAAGCCCTCGTGTAGCTGAACAGTGTGACGTTAATATTCAATCAATCAATCACACCACCCAAAACACACAATTTCTAATGTGAAGCACGGAGGTGAGTCGGTGATGGTTTGAGGGTGTATGGCTGTGTCGGGGGTGGGAAAGCTAGTATTCATTCATGGAATCATGCACAATATGGCTTACCTTAATATACTGCAAAATAATTTGAAAGAGAGTGCTAAAAAATTGGGACTGTGGTCGAATTTCATATTCCAACTAGACAATGACCCCAAGCACTCTGCGTTAGTTGTAAAAGAATGGCTGCTGTATCATTGTCGGAATCAACTTAATACACCTCCACAGTCTCCCGACTTAAATGTTATCGAGAATCTGTGGGCCCACCTTGAGAGAGCTGTGCAAAAACAACAAATTACACGGAAGGAACAATTGAAATCGGTAATGCAAGTAGAATGGCTGAATATTGCTCCCGAGACCACTAGACACCTTGTGGAATCGATGCCTCGGCGATTGGAAGCTGTCATACAGCAAAAGGTTATGCTACTAAATATTAACTCTTTATTATTCATGATTGTTGCAGGAAAATAGATGTACGTACTCTCAATTTTGTGGCTTTTAATTTCTGTTAATTTTCTTTATAAGTTATTATATGTATGTTTAAACTATTAAATATTTTATTTTATCAATAAAATTAATGAATAATGATCTAATAAACGCATATATGCTTAAAAGTTTAATTATTGCCCTCACTTAATCTAATTTTTTCATTCTAAACATTGAATCCCGTTTTAAAAGTAGATGTACGCTCAATTTTGGGAGTAACTGTACACATAGTCTGATGATTTCTTAAGGTTTCCAACTACGTGCGGAACCGTGATTTTAAAAAAGTGCATAAATTGATAATTTCCATGATATTTAGTGTCACTTAGATTAGAATACATGTTTAAAATTTTTTTAAGGACATTTTGACAAAAAAAAAGTTATTTAAATACAATATTTTGGTAAAAAATTAACTTAGAATAACCATTTTTCAAAACGTTCTCTTTTTATAAAATTGCTTCTAAAATAATAATGTTTTGCTTATATAAAGTAATGACTTCTCCAGAGAGTCTGGACTTCTTTTTTAAACATTTACATTATTTTCGGAGTTACAAACAATTGAAATAATTATCGGCGTTTTCTTCTTAAACTTTTTCCCCTCTGTTGTCGTAAAACAGGGATAAACCCACGTCTAAGTTATATATTTCAAAAATTCTTTTTGAGCCTCTGTACAGAGGTCTTAGCTATATACAGGCAATATATTATTATAATATAAGCATTTTTCACAAAAGGAGAATACTTTGAAAACCGGTCATTCTATGCTCATATTTTATAGAAATATTCTGCTTAAATAATTTTTTATTCTAATAATATTCTTAAAACAATTTATATAGTTTTCTAATCTAAGTGACACTAAATATCATAAATATTATCCATTTATACGCTTTTGCAAAATCACGTAGTCGGATACCTTAAGTTGATTATGTAAAAAATAACATTTATATATATATATAAACTTGTAAACGTATAAATAGGTATGAAATATCTGCAAAAGAGTTCGAGCCTGTAATAATGGTTTTTCATGCTTGCTGATTTAACCTCTGGAGATACTGTTTGATTTATTGCTTTATTTGGGAACTCCTGCTAGTGAAGAAACCATGATATGCTAATTAGTATTTCTATTTAAAGAGGTGAGACTGTAATTCTCATAATATAAAATTGTGATTGTGATGTCTAATAGTGTTTGTGCTGCTTTGATCAGGCCAGGTTGTTGGAAAGAAATTTACATATCTGATGCAATGCCGTCAAAGTGAAGCTGATGCTCCAAGTACCTCATAGTTGTCGACTAAAATTAAATGAGTAGGCAAGATAAGGATAGCTAGAATACTTGAATATTTAACATGGGGATATTTTGATAAGAGTAAATAAAAATTGTTGAGTTTATAACAATGTCTGTGTATCATTTGTATACAAAAACTTGTAGAATCTCCACTTCATTACGATCTTTAATGTAAAATGAAATATTAAAAATTACCATTTTTAATGTTTTACATACAAATTAAATCGATTAATTTATGTTTCTGGGGTATATCTCACTCTACCTATATTAATTTCACAACTTACAACTTTTTTTGCAGAGCACCACTGCACTTTAACTATACCATCATTTTTACAACTTGGCGAGTTCTATCTCTCTTGTCTCAGATCAGATTTATTCTCTCTCTCTCTGCTGAGAATACGAGGGCATAATGTTTGAGATGGCACCACCTATCTCCTAAATATTATCTTTTTGCAGCAAAAAATCTAAGAAAACAATTACAATTATCAAAATAAGTAGTATTGTAATTAACAAAAAGTAGTAAAATAATTTTTTTTACGTGGATAATATACTTAGAAGCCAGGCTGAACTACGCTAGTCAAATAAAAAAGTCGCCATTCTTCAAAGAACTGCTTGTAAATGCATTCAACAAGTAATATTAAAAAAAAAACTTTTCAAGTCAATTCCTACTTAGGTAAACAGAAAAATTTTTACTGTGGTTGGTTTGTATTAAATAGTTCATTTAATATAAATAGGTATATACATATGACAGAATCGCAATATTATAAGTGACAAAATAGATTTCCTTTTTCCTTTCTATGTATGGTGTTGGACTATTTTTTGTTTGTTTATTACTGCTTATTTATTAATTAAATTTAATTATTCGAATAAAATAGTACAGTAAAAAGTAATCTCAATCTCCGATATTAGACCATCCCAGGTGAAATTCGAATCCACAACCTTTGGATTAGAAGTCCAATATGCTATCAATTGCGCTACAGGAATGCAGAAAATGATTTTTATTTCTATATATCCTGCTCGACTATTATTTTTGTTTGTTATTATTTATTCATTTTTTATTTAATTAAGATATTCATGTATGAAAAAAGTGTATTGGCATCAAGTGTCATCCCCTACAAGTTTTAAAAATCTATTTGAACTTGAATGGATGGATATAAATTATTTTATTAACGTAGAAAATTTGAACAAAATATATATATGGAGAGAATGAACTAGTAGTAGGAATTGAAAAATAATTTTAACTTCATTTTAATAGTTTTATGTATGGAAGTAATTTTTTTAAAGAATGTAATACTCTGTTAACTCAAAGAATTTCTTTCGGTGGTTAGATAAATTTAACTTTTATTCATAGATTCTAAGTGCATAAACTCCTTACAAATTAAAACAGATTCAAATTTTCTTACATTTAAATTGATACCATTTACAATAATATCAAAACAGTTAATAGTATAGAAATAACTAGAGGTTTGCGTGCGCAGACTTTGACATCTGCTTTCTTGACCGCGCTGGCATGCTGACTGGTTTACTGAGAATTCACTTGGCGAAATGAGTGCGTACTACTGTCGATCTTTTTACCATTCTCTTTACAAGAATAAATAAACTTCTAAAATTCTTGATTTAAATACTTGAATCTTTTTCGCAAGCTAAAGCGGTTTATATTTATTTATTATCGAAACATAATTTACGGTACGCAGTCATAAAAAAATTAATTTGAGTTTATATACGTGTTTGATGTTATATACACTCAGGAACATTGAAAATAGCGACCCAAGAAGGAAGCTAAGTACAATCGTGAAACTTTGCAAATAAGTACAGCGTAATGTGATACGCAAATGATCCAAGTTTTGTGCCAATACGCATGCTCATACACGCCGAGGTGGCTCTACAATCAGGAAGAGGGTACTATACAGGCCAGCGCAAATTCGAAGATTCATAAACGTGACGATAACCCGCAAATTGTACGAAGACTTTGGTAAGTGAAACATGCCGGGTAAACGTGCTAGAAGACATTTCTCACAGTTAAGCGAGTTTGAGAGAGGCCTGATCATCGGGATGAAAACTGCAAGTTGGTCAACGCACCGTGTTGCTAGCCAGGTGGATCGTTCGGAGTGTGCCGTTAGAAATTGTTGGGAGCGGTGGACACGAGAAGGTACCCACGTGCGGAAAACCGGTTCTGGAGCAACCAGGAAGACCACGAGGAGAGAGGATCGAAGGATCGTGCGACAAGCACTTGTGGCCCTCACAGTAACACGTTCGACGAAACGAGCAGACGTAGGCGTAGCAATTGTTCCACAAACAATTTCCAGACACCTTGCAGAAGCAAATCTTAAATCCAAGCACCCTTTCCGTGCACTCCCTTTAACACCGGAACATCGGTAACTGCGTCTACAGTGGTGCCAAGCCAGATCAATGTGGAATGTCACAGATTGGCAAAAGTTTGTGTTTAGTGAGGAATCCCGGTTTGTTTTGGGGACAGATGATAACCGTGTACGGGTGTGGAGGCACCCTGGTGAGCGGTACAATTCTCCCCACACTGTTCTACGTCACACTGCCCGCACAGCTGGAGTAATGGTCTGGGGCGCCATAGCCTATGAAAGCCGGTCCAGTTTAATTGTGATAAGTGGAACCTTAACGGGCCAAGGTTACGTTGATGATATTCTTCGACCCCAAGTAGGACCTTTCCTAAATGGTCTCCCAGGGGCACTTTTCCATCAAGAAAATTCACGTCCGTATACAGCAAGAATTGCTCAAGACTTCGTACGCCATTTTCAGACTCTTCCTTGGCCGGCCCGCTCACCCGATTTTCCCCCGTAGAGCACGTGTGGGATCAGCTAAAACGGCAGATGCCATCGTGTCACTCTGTACATGATTTAGAGTTGGCTGTTCAAAATTTGTGTGCCCATCTGCCTCAGGACAACATAAGGTGTCTAATGAACTCAATGCTGGACCGTGTGCCGGCATGTATTGCAGCTGGAGGTGGTCCAACGCGCTATTGAAGTTGTCCAGTTTTTGTGTCGTTGCACACCCTGTATTCGTTTAATTGTCTTGTTTTTGAGATCACGTGAATCTCTTATCTGTGTCATTATGTGGATTAAATTTCATTTCAATCCGATGCTTTCTTCTTGGGTCGCTATTTTCAATGTTCCTGAGTGTATATAAGAATTTTACACCCTATAATCTCTTGGTAAGTTGTGAAAATGATTTAAATATTTAGTGAAATAAAAAGATGTAAATGCATTCAGTTTATATCAATATTGAATGAAAAGCTGTACAAGAGGGTTCATAACGGTAGAAGGGTAAAAAAAAATATAAGCATAAAAAAGAAATTCAATATATACAATTTTAAGATAGCGTAATATTTTCTAACATTTAAATTAATTTTGTTCATTCAGCAGACCAAATTCCATTTGATAACTATTTAAATAAAAAAAAAGAATTAATAGGTGTAGAAGTTAATTAATGAAAAATGTAGCAACATATATTACTGCACAAAAAACGCAAAGTTTTTTTCAAAGATTCTTAGTAAGAACATTTTATTTCTGAAATGTTTCTTATATGAAATCGAGCAAAAAAATGATTTATTTTATATAAATATTTTTTATTTCATATATATATATATATAGTTTCCTCTTCTTTTTACTTAGGTTTCATGATTGAAGTAATATTATACTTTTTATCGAATTTTTTCTAAAAGAAATAAAAGGAATGATTCTTTTTCTTTTTTCCACTGAAATGATTCCACCAAATATTTTTAGAGTTGGCTTTCCACTTGAAAAATTATATTTACTTCGTTTCATTCGAAAAGTTTTCAATAACTTTATTTGTATTCTATAAAAAGTTAAAAATTGTTACATCAGGCATTGAAACTGGAAAATATAAAATGAGTGATTTCGCCAAATACAAGTACTTAAAATTATATTTGATACATACAAACTAATTAAAAAATGTTTTAATACTGATAAGTCATTGCTAAATAAACTATATAAAGGGGAAAAATTGATGAATAATTTATTAGAATTATATATTCTTACATATATATAGATTCTTATATATATTCTTATATATTAGAATTATATATTCTTATATATTAGAATTATATATTCTTATATATTAGAATTATATATTCTTATATATTAGAATTATATATTCTTATATATTAGAATTATATATTCTTATATATACGCTATAGTGGTGATTCAATGTGAACTTGGCGAAATCTTGGTGATAGAGCCAAGTTGGCATCATATGTAAAGATCAAGTTGCCTACCAATTTGGCGACTTTGGTGACCATTTTGACGTCATTAGCGACCATGTTGACGACTTCGGTACCCTCTGGATTCTTCTAGAAATAAGTGGATTTCTCTACTAAATTCAAGCTGTATGACACGCTCCAGAATTTTCTGGAAGTTTCTGCCAAGTCTATAAATAGAATGGTGCTAGCCACAACCAGTCAGTCTGGATTCAACCCGCAATTTGTAAACTTGTTTTGGCCGAGATTGCCGCTTAGCTTCGCTATGCTTGTGAATAATCTTTTACAGGAGTGTATTTTAAACACTGATAATTGTGTTTGAGAGCTATTGAATGTGTAAAGACCTTCTAAGATTTATTCTGTGAATATTGCTGCTGAATCTTGTAATGAAGGATTGCATTCTTGACAATAAATTTGCATCGGTCTTAAGGAACTTTTTATTTTCTTTGTGACTGTTTTGCATAAAATCCTCGAACCCGGATCAACGTAACAATATAATACAGTTAACCTAAGTAATTGAAACTTATTGATATACTCGAGTTGACAAAATTTTTAGCTTATATAACATACTTAATAAATATATAAACATTCTTTCTTATCCTTCTAATCTGAACCAGATTCAATCCATGAGCTTCTTCGCTTGCAGCACTACGTCAGGTCTTTTGAACAGCTCGTCTGTCGTCACGGCAACATAACTGAGTAGATGGTGAGGTGTGGATTCACACGTATCGCATTTTGTACAAACCGTAAATTTTTTACAACCACCTGAAACGATTCGTAACCCATTATATCAGTGCTTCTTAAACTTTCAATACTTGTGACCCAATATTCAATCATAAGTTTCATCGCCCCGCAACCCATCCTCCGTGCAATAACAATTTGTTTAATTAAAAAAAATACTTTGACGTTAAAGCCACAATACGACTTTAAACTCTTAAATGCCACAACTGTATATAAACGTCTCGCTCGGACAAAGCGTTGATTGCCCCGAACGTATATATACGTCTTTCCGATCTTTTCTGTGCACTTTTTTCCGTAAAATTATTCCGAATGCTTTGAAATGTAATAAAAGGATCTTGACAGTGGTTGCGAAGGTTTTACGTACTTCAAATGATTGGGGTTTTTTGTCTATTCTTTTTCTTCCCTCTTCTCCCCACATAATCTATCACACACGCATTCTTACGTGGAAAACGGTTGTCATTGAGAATCGAATCACGTAAATTTTAATCGGCAGTGAAGGGATTAATTATAAACCGTACAAATTATCAAGATAAGTGTTAATTTGTGTATATAATTTTGTATATGACAAGCCCGTGGGGTCACTTGTTTACACTCCCATTATTAAACTATTTCTTAACTTAGTATTGTTAAATTTTAAAATTGTGCAATGCTAAACATTTATAAGAGTAAGATTTATAAACAGTTACCAGTGTAAATGTGTATTTTATTTATTATGTTGGAATATATATATTTTTTACTTTGAGTATTTTTTTTTAAAAAAACAATTGTTGGTTTTTGATTTTTCAATATTCTCGTGGCCCCCTCGTAGCGTCATCACACCGACTATGGAGGCAAGCTCCGTAGTTTAAGAAGCACTGCATTACATTCAAAAACTTTATCCTTTAATTTTTGTAAAAACAAATACATTAATATGATAACATGGAAGAATGATAAAAGGAAAAATGTTTTATGTTTCTATGTATATTGGTATAGAAACTATAGACCACACACATCC